CATTCAAGTGATTGACAAAGTCACAAATAGGATTTCAGACTGAACTGGATGACACGAGGTTCTGTTACCAGTTAATCAAAACTATGACAAAATTTGACATTGGTTAAAAATTTACTTATTAATAAAAAAAATTGTTAACTTGGCAAATTGCACAACAACAGCAAGTGCCCATGATGTGTACTAACCCTAAGCAACTGTGCTATTACTGTCTGATTACAAGCATGACATGCACACTGTCCTATTAATGCTAAAATGAGGCTAGTGATAACCAACCATGTTTGAGAATTTTGTTATAGTTTTGACGTATACTATTAGAGGATACTGTGGCCTAAAGGTGGGATTCAAGCCAAATTTGAGAAGTTTGGACCATATTTTTATGTGTGTCTGGTGAATAAGTGGGAAGTGGGCTGGATTCCACTTTCAAGGTTTAGGTTCAAGGCCAGACAGGGTCACTGTCGTCTTTGACAGGACACATAACTCTCCCAGTGCCACTCTCCACTTAGGAGTTTAAATTGGTACAGGTGAACTGACAGAGAAATAAGACAGCTCATTTTTGATGGACTGACATCCAAAATCACTTCTAATTTCTTCAAACTATAAAAACTGTCACTGCCTCTTTCTACCACAAAGTTAAGCAGGCACCAAGTGAGTAGTCTTTGGCCCAATAACACAATATAATGACTCTAGTTAGTGACAGATCATTTCTAAAGTTAGAAGCTACCATTGTTTGAATCCAATTTTCTTAGTATATTTTATTAACAACTTAATTACTAAAAAAATAATTTCAAGCTTTTCCCCTATCTTACTGAAAAATAGTCATCTGGAAAAAATTTAATTTTGTTTGGTTTCAGACATCACTGACATTGGATGAAAGATTTTCTGAATACTCAAACTCTGGTACATTTAAACTCACTGGGGAAACCTTGAATATTAGCAGTGGAGTGTTACCTACACAGCAATAATTTATTACTTGTGTTTTTTTGGTTGAGTTAAATTTATTTTCAGTTTTGTTCTTCATTTCATTCATTTTTCTTAAGAAGACTTCATTGTTAAAGATATGAACAGCTTGTTTCAAAAGATGCAGGTTCCTTTTATTTATTATTTGTGTCTTCTGGATAAGGGAAATTGACCTTTAGTTTTGTTCTTCAATATATTAATTTTTCTAAAATTATAAACAGTAAGTTTCAAAAGGATGCAGCTTCCATTACATTCAGAATTTTAAAGGACAGACATTTTATAAAGATTTTATTATTTAAATGTACAGATCAAGAGAGTGAACACATTTTGGGAAACACAGGCTGCAGAAGAGCCACATCTCATAAAAATTTCTTGAGGATGATTTGGGAGGCAAGCAATGTGGTTAATAACAGGCACTTAATCTATCCTGAAATATTAAAGACTGAATTATTAAAGACTGAATTACCTTCTTTTTTGTACAAATACTTCCTAACCTTAACTTAACATATTCAAGACTGTTCCCCATTATTTATGCCCCTGTTAAGTTAGATAACTTGCCTAGAGGAGAGCTCCAAGGTTTCTTTTCAAGCACAATCCATTATTTTTAAAAAAATCCAAGCTGATAGCACTGTATAGAATGAGTTACTCTACAAATGCTTTGCGGGTACAGAAAACATAAGGAGACCATTTTTTTTAAAAATTAGTTTATTTTGATGATCTTTGTCAAAGCCTTCCCCATTCCATTTCCATAATTTCCCAAAAATATTTTGAATTTTTGACCAACACCTGAGATGTCTTTTGCTTCCTAAGTGTGGCCAGATTATGGAGAGGATTCACCATGAGTCTCAGGGGAGGAAGAAAATACCTTAAAATAAAGAGACAAGATGTGATAAATCAGTAATTTTTCTTTGAAGTTTGCTCTGATTGGTTAGACAGAGAGCACATTGTTGGACTGAAAAACACTTTCCACATTAAAGCCCTGTGAAGAAAGCCTACCATTGAATGTGTTTGTCCCTGTGGCTCGCTGTTTGTGGGTGATGTTTCATTAAGTTCCTCAGTGGTACCAGAATGCAGCATGGCAGAGGACAGACTTCCTGAGGAAATTGATGCCTCTGACCCAGTCTCTGTTCTGCCTAATAAGTGACCTTGTTACAAAAAAGGAGATAATACTTTATGCCATATCTATTTGAATGTTATCTGCTTCAAGGTTAGAAAACTGAATAAAGGGGTTAGTTTTTAAAAGAAGTGTGGCACAGGGTTGGTGAGGGATTACAAGATGATTTGGTTTTATCAATGTAATTGATAATGGAAATTGGCCATTGTAGAGAGTTTCTAAAGCTGATATTTCAGGCGCTAGCCTTTCATCTGAGAGATTAAGAGAACCCCTAAATAAATTGTTTCAACTTCATTAGATGAAGGCCTGCAAAGACCAAACGCAACCTTTGTCATTGATAAAATTGAGGTAAGAGTGTTCCCAACACTTTTCATTTTTTCTAAAATTTTAAATTCTTCCTGGACAGATTACAGACTTACTTTTGCCTTCATTAGCGTCAGAGAACACATTATCAGCACCAGCCTCCTCTGGGATGCCACCACCCTTCTCTAACATTCCACCTCCAGATGACATAGTATGTGATCGAGAAAGTACAAACCATTGTTTCCCGTCTGAGCCCCTGGTCAGGCGTGACCCTTGTGAACTCAGCGAGTGTTCCACAGTACCTGATGATGATGTGCTTTTCTCAGAAGCAACATGAGTAAGTGCTGCATTCAAAGGCCCTTTTGCTCCTAAATTGCTTACAGTGCTTGAAGCTAAAGGCCCTTCCCCAGATAAGCCCCTTAAATTAACGTTCCTTTCTAAGGAAGTGAAAGATGTCTGGCCAACTGATGAGTCAGGTCCCTTTATTGAAGTTCTTTCTGGGACTTGGCCAATTCGTCTCCCATGGGTACCAAAAGAATGTACCTCTAGGGCACCTGATGCTCCCTGAGCCTTGGATGATGTGCTTTCAGCTTCATCACTTGTGGATGTCAAGCGTGTCATCATTTCTGTGAGCTCGGACAAGGTGGAAAATGTTGAGCCTATGCTGCCACGAGCATTTGGACCTTCAGATTCATGTGGAAGGGACAAATACTCCGTGCTGGAGCCATGACTCCAGTCGCCGCTTGTGAACAAAGGCTTCTGGGTGTAACTGGATGAGGTAACAACTGTAGAATTAGGTGCAGTAGTCAGTGATTTTTCAAAGGCACCAAGCCTTTGTGAAATAGCACGTAGTCTGTCCTGCCCCTGAAATGCTGTAGAATTTGCTACAAAACCCAAATTCTCTTTGTTTGTGTCCTCTATGTTCCTACCCAAGTTGGTATGAGCCCTGACAGGCTGTTCCCATAGTGAAGGGCTTGTTTTTGTGAGGGGCCCTATAAAAGGCACACTGTTGCTTGCACTTCCTTTGGCCTGGTACATTTTAGTACCTAAACCACCTGGGGTCCTTTTCTTATACAAGTCACTGTGACGCTGAACACGAGTTCTTTGAGCTTCGAAGAGCTGTCGTTCTTCTTCCATCTTTTGCTGGTAGAAGTCTAAATAACCTGGAGAATAACCAGAGCGAGTGATTGGTTGGAAAGCAGAAATTGTGTCAGGGAAATTTTTTGCTAGCCCACTGCTCAAAACTGGTGGTGTCACAGCCCTTGAAAAGTGACTCGATGGCTCAGTTCTTGAAGACAACACAGAAAATTGCTGTACATTTGCTGATGATGGCTGAGAAAAACCTATGCCTTGTGAGGCCTTTACATTACTGAGCAATGATGTGGCAGCAGCAATGCTTGTAGCGTCCTTGACATCAGAGTATTGTGACCAACCTTGGGAGGTGGGTGGAAATACACGCCTTGTGTCAAGAAAGGGTTGACCTGAGTGTGAGGTCTGTGACACAGCAGCTGTCACACTTAGATCAGAAGATAACGTCACACTAAGCGAAAGAGTTGACGGAGTTGAAACATTAACAAGCTCCTCAGATTGAAGGCTTGATGCTCTACCAGACATTGTGTCCTTTCTTAAATACATTTGACCTCTATCAGAGGGGAAGTCATCCAATTGTGCCTTGTCATACTCCTGTAAAATCTCCCTTTCTGTTGTCCGAAACTGGGCAGCCTTTTCCGCTGTTAAGCGTGCTGCTTGTAATGTTCTTTGGAAATCTGAGGACATTCCAGATTCATCTGAGGTGATACTCTCTAGTGTTGAGGACTCGAGGGCATCAGAAAGCAATGGAGAGCCATCTGTTGAAGGACTTTTGGGCTCTTCTGTTTGAGGTACTGAATTGTGTGGGGCTTGGACATGGAATGACCTGCCTTCTGTGTCCACTGCTCCCTGAAATGAAAGAAGACAATTGAAAGCTTCACCAAACGTCTTATTTTTGCAATTACAAGTCAGACTCCCTTTCCAGAGTTGGTCAAGGCTAAATGTAATAGGCTAAATGTAATAGGCTTCAAGTAATAGACTTACAGTGTTTGTCAGAAATGGGTCATTGTCATAAGGGGGGCTATGAGTGAATGGTACTTCTGGAGAGAGCCTTTGATCAGGCACTGATAGACCTTCAGGCACTGATAGACCTTCAGGCATATCCACATGTCCATAAATATCAGCAAGTTGCCTCTGGTAGGCTTGCAGTTGTTGCTCTAGTTGCTGCTGAAGAAGATTTTGCTGTTGCAGTTGTAGTTTGAGTTTCTGTTGCTCTAGAAGAGCTTCTTGTTGGCTGAGTTGTGCTGTTGGCTAAAATAAAATTAGAGAAACAAAGAGCTGTTACTCAAGATGACACAAGATGCAGTCCTTTTTATAATGAAACCACCTGGTGCTAACTGCAAAAAATTGTTAACAAACCACAGGTTACCAGCTCCAGTCAGGCTTTGATGTTGAAAATTAATTTCTTCTATGTTAGGGCTTAACTACAAAAAACCACAATGAGCCCTCTGAGCCTCCCCTTTCTAAAGGATTCATACCCCTCTTACCATAGGGGTGGTGGTGCGAGATCGTTGTGCAGCTTCCAATGGATGGAGCAATGTCCTTGCACCACTTGCTGGTGGGTTGACTCTGTCTATTTCATGCTCCATCCCTGGCATTGGCTGCCGTGTTTCCATTTCAGTTGCATCAGTCCTTCCAGGTTCTGCTTCCTCTTCCTCTCCTCCTGAAAATTCAGCTTCGGCGATTTGTTCTGGGGCAGCAGGAAATGGTATGGTGTCTGGGATCCTGCGTAAAAATATTCATCTCAGATTAGAGACTCTTCTTTGGATTTAACCAGTAGTTAGGCATTTTTTGGTCTTCTGAGCCATTTTTTGGCTTTGTCACGCAATACATTGGGTGACAAACTTGAATAATATCTACAAAGTAGACTAGACTTTTTATCACAGTAAAATTCACAACAGAATTCATTAATTAAAAAGAAACGGTTTGCCCATTGATGACTTCCACAATTAACACCAATTAAGGGAACACTGATTGCATGTCAGCTCCCACATCTCTAAACCTCAGGTAAAGGATCCAAATTCTCCCAAATGATTCTGGCATGTTTTCTGTTTCATGATGCCTTAGGGGAATATGGTTCATAATCAACTCTATTTTCAAAGCATTTCAATCTTTGATTTGGCAATCATACCTGAATTCCTGGGTTCTTTGGGGCAGCATTGTTGAGGTAACTGAAAGAGGAATTCCTAGAAGTATATATACAGAGTAGAAATCAAAAAGGCATCAATTGTTGACAAAAATGGTTTTTAGTATCTCATTCAGTAAATTACAACAGCTCTATCAAACATGACATAAATCACAGATCATGCTAACTAATAAAAGAAGGAAAATTTCAACTCATTACAACCAAATCTTGACTTCTTATCCTGCCATCTCTTTACAAAAAATGCACTTGTAGTAGCTGCCATAACAACGTTCAACCTTACAAAATGCATTTATAAAATTTAATTTAGTCCACATTATTCCAACCTGTTTCTCCTGCACCAGGAGGTTGCCTTCCTTCTGGAAGCTGCCTTTCCTTCCACTGGTCGCGCTGCCTCTCAATCCTTTTTAAGAGTCGTTGCAATGGATCTGTAGGGGGTACACCTTCAGAAGGCCCCTTTGTGGCACCATAACCTGGGGGTGCGATTTTAGGCCCAGCTACAGGCTCACCACCATGTTCTGCTCCTCCTGATCTCTCATCAGGAACAACTGCATTAGGGGGTTGTGGTGGCTGTTGGAACAGTTGGTGAGCATATGAATGTTTGCTATTGATTACTTGGGAGAGGAACAACAAGATACATAACTTAATTAAAGAACTGTAGAAGTGACCATGTAAGATTTGACCAAAACCTAGCCTTGAAAGGTTAACTCTTACCTCACAGATTGAATGACCCTTAGGCAAGGTGGACCAGGATATTATATACCCACTCTGAGTGAGATTATTGGAAATTTCAGCAGAGGGGTTGAAGGCTGATGTGTACAAAGTTGAATTAAAATTTTTAAAGAATTACAATGGCAACAAAAAACATGAAACTTGTTGGAACATGCACTGGATGAGATGTCAGTCCATTGCAAGGTTACCCCCCAGCATTTCATCAGGCTTCCTTTACAAATTGCCAGTACCCATTTATACCCCTGTGTGCAGAGAGGCATGGGGAGAGTAAAGAGTCTTACTCACAATGATCCAGCCAGGTCTCAAACCCAGACCCCTCAACCAAAGTCCAGTTCACTGAGCATTAGACCACCATGAATCCCACTATTGAGACACACCTATCATTGTTTCTTAAAATGCCCTTATTGGTTGTGAGTATATGGAAGTCGTATATTTGAACTGAAGTTAAAGATGTGAATATGAAAGCGACCTTCGCAGCAATCATGGGTTCAAATCCCGTACAGGCCTGAATTTTTTCTGGCCTTCTTTTCACTACTACTTAATAAGTAGTGTTCATTACTGCGAAGATCGCTTTCATAATCAATTCCCTTATTATATAGAGGAAAATTTTTTCATAGAATAATTTCAAGGGAAGAAAAAAAAAACAAGCATTTTGGAATGAGTAATGCCTCATCAAGAAAAGTAACAGAGACATGGTCTTAGATATGAGACCTGGTCTCTGTTACAAATGATGAGCTAAAACTAAGATTAAACATCATAGCTTTTCATTGATTTTCATTAATCACACCTTTTTGGCTCCTACTGGTTCAGCAGATCCTTGATCACTCTCTGCAAAAACATGAACACTGTTTTCAATTCTTTTACAATTTAGATATGAAAGGGAAACTCACTTGGTCTTGTTGTCTGATCATCAGAGTATGATAGTCTTGAGATGATTGTGATAAGGCATTTATAAAGTGCATTATCTATAATACTGTGTTATGATGCTCTTTAGCTAGACTAAATTTAGCAGTTTACAAGTTTGAATATGCAGGAGATAGGGCCTATGAATTATCATCCTTATGTGAGAAGACTAGAACATCTGACCATTTGTATTAGTCGTAGCAGAGGAGGCACATTCTTCTCAGTTATTTCAAGACCCTGAGTGTTGGTCCAGTCTGAGGGTTGAACCCTTCATCTCCCATGCAGCACTCTGGCAGTCTACAACCTGAGCTTACCAGGCAGCAAAATGAACTATTTTCTGTAGCAGTGACTGAAATTTTGACAACCCACCTGAGAGTCCTCATCAGATTCAAGTCAGGAGTTGATTGGTTAGTTTTGTAATGATGTCCTTGGCTGTTAGATTCTAGGACATCATGCTACTCATGATTAGTCAGTTTTGATCTGTCAGTGAGGTTAAGTGATTCTATCTAGTTTGTTTGTCTATCCATGACATTACAGCGACAAACACCCAACTGACAAGCAACTCCTTGCTTGAATCCAAAGATTACATCTCCTCAAGTTGTCAAAATGTCAGTCACTTACCAAAAAGTCTTTCTGAGAACCAATCTCAAGTGCACAATCGGACTTCATGAACAACAGTAACAGTTACTCTGACCACCTGTATTCAAACCATTCTCAGTAACACTCACCAGATAGAAGGCTATCTACTGATGAAGGTCTTAGATGCTCAGGAGGTTCCAGTGCAACAGTCAGATCACCTGTGTAACCTAGGAAGCGTCAAAATCACAATGTAAATACTCTGCTGAACAAAAAGCACCCGAAAACTTTCACACACACAAACACACAAAAAATTAATGTCAAAATCAATGACTCCAACCTGTGTGCATCATGTACATGTCTTCAAATACTTGCTCTAAGTCTCTTTGGCGATCCTCTGCATCCTCCAACCTTTTGTGTGGAGGCTGAAATATGCGCACCTACAGGGATACAAATTTGTCATCCAAAGAAACTTCTCCTTTGTGGAGTAGCATGAAGGCAAACCATGCAC